TATTTTTTATTTTTTTTTTTGTGAAAAAACCGGTTCTCTACCTCTTCACATCTCTATGTTAGCCTTTTTATTTTTAGCAACTGCGCGCTCAGCTACGAAAACCACAAAGCGATAATTTTTCTTCATTCCATCTACGTCAAAATTTGTTTAATTTCGTTTGAACTTTGAAACGCTCTCAACGCTCTATTGTTTACTTAGTGTAGTATTTTTGAGTGAGTAAACTTTTCGCAGCGCTTAGTTTGCTGATTCATTGATGCCCCACGCGGGGTGCTGTCGCTGACGATGGCCCATTATGTTGAGTGCGTTGACAAATTCATAATATTTATTTTTTACCATAAGTAGGTATTTGTTAAAGCACTTCATGCCAAATGGAAGCTGTGAGCTTACGGGTACATTTGAAAATCGAGTAAAAACAGTCGCAAATTCCATTAACTGATCGATATCTACTATAAAATTTCAGTTATTGATTAATTAACTTTATTAAAACGTGTTCTATGTAATCAAAATACTGTCATTAGTTCGATAACGACGTGCCGATTGTTTTCGTCAAACTTATGATTAGCGACTAATTTTAATGTTGTATTTTCTTTGAACTTTTGCCAGTCATTTGGTAGAAAACAGCAACAAATAAAATACTAAAATATGTACGTACATATGTATGTATATGTATGCCTACGTTCGTGTGTACATACAAACATACATATATATACCACATAGATAGGAACATATGTATGTGCATACATTAGGGTGGTCCAAAAAGTAAGCTAGAGTTCTTGAAAATCTATATTTTTCGATAGGAAAACTCTGGTACTCTTCAGGAGATTTCCAATAATAATAACCAATTATTTATTGAACCATTTCTTAATAATAAAGATTTTTTATTGGTCCCTCCATTGCATTTTCTATGGTTTTTGGCGGTTTTTGGCGGACCTATAAAATATAGTTGCTATAAAAGATGGTTAAATAAACAAATTGGGTATTATTGATGGGAGTACCTGGAAGAGAAGCAGAGCTTTACGATCGAAAAATATTGATTTTCTAGAATTCTATACTCTTTCTACTAAAAGTGGTTTTTTCCTTTTCAAAATTCATGGAAAACTTTGAGCGCTTTGAGCGACCTGTAAATATTTTTTCACTTCAAAATAAAAAATAGGGGCACATTTTTTTCGGTATAAAACAATCCTAAGGGTGAGAGCATAAAAATCCAGACTTAACTTTTTCTCATGCATTTTTGGACCACCCTAATGTACATACGAGTCGAATCAATGTTTCTAAACCAAGCGCACATGTTAGGGCAGCGAGATAATTTATGAATGAAAATAATATTCTAAACAACATCACATAGGTTTATGCTTAAAATTTTCTATCAAAACACATTTCTACATTATATTTTTAAACACTTGGATTTTTTGCCAGAAAAAAACTTTTGAATTAAAAAATGTAAATAATTATTATGGGTTGAATTCTTATTACAGGTTCCATATTCAACATTCTAATTTACAAAATTTTAAATTTTTTATTATTTTCAAATTAAAAAAAATATATATTTTTTTTTAAGTTTAAGGGCCGTTTGCTCATCTTCCCTTTAAACACAAATTTTTTTCTGAAGAAATTTGTTTGAAGGCCATACACATTTAAAACCTAAAAACCTATTTCAGAAAACGACACTAACACTTGAAACTAAAAAAAACATTTCAACATTAATAGCCAGTTTCACGAAAGCAATTTAAGTGAACAATTATTTTTTCTTTTTATATTTAATATGGAAACTGACATAATGGAAAGAATAATTTTTCATTTAAATTGCTGGAAAATCGGCAGTTAACTACAAATATTTTTAAAACTCTTTTGCTAATACACAATTTCGGAATTGATTTTTGAAGATAATTTCAAAATTTTTAAAATATTTTTAGTCAAATTGTTATGTTATGTTATTTATGTAATAAAAAGAAAATAATGTTATGCAAAATTTTAATTTGAGACATAAGATTAAAAAAAAAACTTTTGGCAGCGACGTTTTTTCATACAATTAAATTTATTTTTAAATTAAAAGCCATTTTTTACTCTTAGCTAATAAAATAAATTTAAAAAAATTATTTTGCAAAGTTTTAATTCGAAATTCTTAAGATTTTTGAAAAATATTATATTTAAAAAATAGTCAGAATTTTTGCATTAAAAATAATGTTATTTAGTAAATAAAAAAGAACATTAACAATTAATTAAGTGCATAGTAAATTATTTGGTACTTTCGAAATTATTTCAATAACTTCAGTATTTTTAATTACCAGAGTTTTCAAATTTATCAATGTATTTCAACTGTAAACATCTGCCATGCACACATGTACATACTAAACTTATGAGCGTACGTATGTACATACATGTGTATCAACAAAAACGCTGACGTGGCCGAAATAGAAACATCTAATGGCTTACGAGTGTGTTGGGTATAAAAATAAAAACTAGTAGAGAGCGAGAAAAAACAGATACCAAGTACTGAGAGAGTGCGCATACATATGCATAAGTTTGGAATAAGAAGAACAAAAAATACCCTAACTGCTGCTCGAAAATTATTTTTGCCTTCTGTCTGTTTTCATATTAAATTCAAATAAAAAATTATAATTTTTCACTTAAATTGACTTCGTGAACTGGAATTTGAATATAATTAAATCAGAAAATTTTTTAGTTTTCGAAAATTTCATTATTTTTTAAATTGAAAAATTTTTAACTTTTGAATAATTTTTTTAATTTTTGTCATTTTTTTTCGTTGCTATTTATGGCCTTATAAAACTTATATTCAACAATCTTATTGAGCTTTATGCCGTTTTCCGCAACACTTTTTTCACTAGAAATGACCACAAGCTCAATAAATATGGTTGAATTAAATTTTCTAAATTTTCCTAATATTTGAGATTTTTAAGTTACTTTTTTGATTTCCAACTTAAAAAAATTACTTAATTGGGTTTAAAATCTAAAACAGAATTTATAAAAAGTTTAAAATATATATAAAAAGCTGTAATTTGCATCCTTTTAAATTTTGTGTTTGAACTTTTATATTAATTTTTTTTTGGAAATTTAAATTATTTGCTTTTTGAAAAACAATTCAAAAATATCAAAATTTTTAAGTGAAAAATAAAAAAGGTTTAATAAAACTGTAAAACAGTTTTATGTTTGGTTGGCTTAAAAGTTTAATTTTCATAAATTCACGAATTTTCAAGTTGAAACTTTTATTATTTTTCAAAATTGTTTGCTCTTTAAGTTCTTTTTATCTAATTTTTTTTAAGTGCATATAGAAATTTCAAAATGAGGTCCTTAAAAGCTTCATAACTTTTTTCAAATATTGCACATATCGATAGTCCTTTGGAATAACGACACAACTCCAGAAAGAAAAATATTATTTCTGTCGTTATTTTAGAGGACCCTCAAATGTACAGACATAGATAGATACTTAAAGTAAATACACATTCAGAATGATTTTTAGGAATTTTGAAATTTTCCAATCTCTGTTTATAATGAAATTCAAAGTTTTCATAGTGACATTAAAAAGGAGTAGTGTTTTACCACATTTAAAAATAATTTTAAAATGCTCACTATTGTTACACATTTCTAGATTTTTCAAGCCTTAATTTGGTTTTTAAAGTTTTGGTTAATAAAATTATTTTTTTTTAACCTTAGACATTTTTATACAATGTTTTGACTTACGAAATTTTATGTGATATAAGAAAAATTCAGTATCTATTTTTTTCAAGCTAAGGTCTAAAAAAATAAAAAAAATTAGTTGTGGAAAGTTTTCATAATTTTTCAATAACTAAAACTTTATTTATAATTTTAACTTTCTTTTTTAAATTCTCCTTAGTATTTCAAAGTCTTCAGTTTATAGATTTAAAATTTTTCATAACTTTGACAATAGTTTATTTGTTTTTATGAATACCATTAATATTTAATTAACGTTTTATATTTATAATACAACAAATTTTGGGCTATTGCAAAGCGCCACATTTTGAAATTTTCTACTAAATGCGCTATATGTATTTTTCAAAAGGTAGTAAATATTTTGACAAAAACAATCAATCGAATTTTTGTTAAAATTAAGAAATACAAAAAAATAATAAAAAATATTTAATTTTTAGAATATTTAATTAGTTAAAAATAGGTTTGAAACCATTTTTTTACAATATTTATTTGTTAAATATCCCGCTAGCAGACACATTTTATAACGAAAGCTAGTTCCACATTTAAAATACACAAAATTTAGTTTGCCCAAAAATTAAAGTGTTCAATAATAGAACGGCTGTAATATTTAGATAGAAGATTTACTAAATGTAATTCAAAAATTCTAAATTTCATAATGAAAAATACTTAAGTTTTATGTTCTAAAAAAAGTGTATTTATGTTTGAATCGTGTCAGGAATTCCCTTGTTTTTAAATTTCATTTTTCAAATTGTTAAAATTAGAATCATTCGAATCAGCCGAATGTAGAGTGTTACAATGCCAGCCAACAATCTGTCTTGTGTGCGGTTAGAGAGCGTATCCACGCCGCCCTAACAACAAGTTTTCATGGCAAAAATCGTGCGCTCAGCAGGTCGCATTAACTCTATGCCGCCGCCACGCCACGCCGCTGCCAACGCGAATATCAACTGAGACGCCAAAAATGGGGCCCGTATTGGAGCGCCGGCTGCGCTTCTATCTAAGCTTGCTAGAGAGCGCTAAACTAGTCTGTTGCTTTGTTTTGATAACGCCGGTACGCGTTGATCTCGTCGCTATTCGCTGTTGTACTGTTGCATGGCGTGGCGTTGTTTGCTTTGTTTTGAACATTCGCAAGTGCATTCAACTATTAATTATAAGTAGATTATCTGCTGTAGCAACAACTACAAGCACATACACTCCCACATTGCATTTATACTGAATAATCTGAAAAAAAAACGCTATTAAATTTAAAAGACAAACAAGTGTACGAGAACATTGAACTGAACCGAATTCAATTACAAAGTGGTGCTCCAATTATGGTAGACTCCACCAGCGTGCTACTCGTATTCGTCACACTGCTGACGGGAGTGTTCGTTTGGTCGCGACGAACTTATGTTTACTGGCAGCGGCGTCGCGTTAAATTCGTGCAGCCCGTACATCTGCTGGGCAACCTAAAGGAAGTGCTTTGGCAGCAGACTTCATTCCCTTTACTGCTGCGCGACTACTACTTTGATCCGCTCTTCAGGCACGAACCGGTGGTGGGTATTTACCTCTTCCACCAGCCGGCGTTGCTGATACGCGACCTCAATCTGGTGCGCCTCATATTAGTGGAGGACTTTGTCAGCTTCTCCATGCGCTTCTCCAAATGTGACAAACGTGTAGACAAGTTGGCTGCAAATAGTTTGTTCTTCGTACGGAATCCAGAATGGCGAGAGATACGGACGCGGCTTTCGCCGGCCTTCACCAGCGGTAAGATCAAGCAGATGTTTGCACTCATGGAGGAGGTACTTTCACTTGTTCGACACTGTATTGACTGCGTTTGCACAATAGTCCATCGAGTTTATTCATGTTTCTTCTTCTTTCGATTTTTTGTTTCACCCACAGATCGGCTATGATCTCGAGGCTTATCTGAAGCGCCTCACCGCAAACGGTAACCAACGGCGCAATGCTGTGGTGAACATCAAGGAGATTTGTGATATGTACAATACAGATATGATCGCCAGCATCGCGTTCGGACTGCGCTCGTACAGCCTGCGCAACAAGCAAACTGAATTGGGAAGCCATTGTCGTGAAATGTTTACGCTCACATTCAGGCGCGTCATCGATCTGTGTGTGATATTCTTTCTGCCGAAATTCGTATCGCTGCTGCGTCGAAATCTACTCGCACCTGCACACGCGGAATTCTTGCGTCGCACAGTGCTGCAGGTGATCGAGGAGCGCGAGCGCAACGGTGAGATGCGTAATGATCTCATCGAAATGTTGTTCACACTGAAAATGGAAGCAGCACTCAATCAGGATCACACGCACTTCACCCATCAGCAAGATTACTTGGTGGCGCAAGCGGCCATGTTCGAACTGACAGGCATCGAAAGTTGTGCAGCCACAATGAGTTTTGCGCTCTACGAGCTGGCCAAGCAACCGCTGCTGCAGGCGCGTCTGCGCGCAGAGATACGACGAACCATAGGCGGCGGCGGCGGCGCGCAACCCAGCGACATTACTTACGATAAGGTAATGGGCATGCAGTACCTGACGATGGTGGTGGAGGAGACACTGCGCAAGTATCCGAATGTGCCGATTTTGGAGCGTGAATGCACACCGATCAATAAGAAGCGCTTCTATCCATTGCGCCCTTACGCCGAATGCTTTGTGCGACGCGGTATGCCCGTCTATATTTCCAATCTGGCTATACATCACGATCCACAGGTGAGTTAATCAAATACGAAAGCTTTTATGATGTGCAAACTAACGAAGCCTATCTCTATTTCAATCGCTTAGTATTGGCCCGAGCCGGAACGTTTCGATCCACAGCGCTTTACGCCGGATAATCGCAAACTGCAAACGCCTATGGCTTATCTGCCCTTTGGCGCGGGGCCGCACAACTGCATCGGTATGACCATAGCACAGCTTCAGATTAAACTTGGCCTATTACATTTTCTGCGCACGCATCGTGTGGAGATTTGCGAAAAGACTGTCGACAATATCGAATTCGATCGAAAATTCTTGTTATTGTCTAATAAAAGCGACATCTATTTGAGTGTCGAGAAGTGTTTGTGATGATGAATTGTGAAACGTTACAACTACGAGATAATAACCGCTGTCACATCGTAGAGTATGTTTGTGTTTGTTAATATGTATGTATGTAGCTGAGCTTTGATATCAACACCAATTTGGCGCTTATCATTGGCCGATAAGAAACTATCTACAAAAACTTTACAGTCTTTAGTTGAAATTAAATTTAGGAGCTCGCATTTCAGGCCAAAAGATCAAAGCAACGCTTACGTTGAGCAATAGCAGGCTTTCTTTCCTATTTATTGTTGTTTCTTTTACAAGCCAATCTAACTTCATAATTTAAGGCCAACATTTTTGTTTTGTATTTGTAATTTTTTACCAGTCAGCACTCATATGTATTTGTGAATTGTATTTTGTACTAAGAAATATTTTTAATATATCGTTTTTATGAATGACTAAGAACCAACGCGTTTTTTCTACTTACATACATACATACATATGTACGAGTATATTTAAGTTTTTTTTGCTTTTATCTATTGGACTTTTGTTTGCTCGATCACGCCACCGCCACTCAACATTGTTAAGATTTGCCTTACTTATCTTAATAATAAAGGGAATTCTATTAGTGAGTGCAAAACAAAAACACAAAATAAGCTCACCCAATTGCTAAAGGTGAGTGTGCCCACATAACTACATATATCATAGATACACATGTACATACATACGTGCATAGGTAAGCATGTATTAGGGTTGTTGCGAATATGGAATTTTAGACATCCGC